GCGCAACCACGTGACATACACGATTATGAATGGTATTACTGCACGGTGTTGTAGAGGGAGGAATGTCCGAGCTGAACAACACCATGCAGGCGGACGATGACAAAACCTATGTTTCTATTTCTTGTTCTATTTTGTCAGCTTTGAAAAATAACTTAAACATTTATTGTTATTTTAGAAATTTTACATTAATTTTGTACTACCTGTACTGGCAGATATGGCTGAAACTCCCAGCTGCAAATTAAGATTTCAAATTTTCTTAAAAATCATTATTCAACATTTCACCCTATACTATTATCCTATATCATATAATTATGCAAATGATGTAAATTGATATGCAAATTCAATACATTTAATGCAACAGGAACAACTTACTGAGACAGTAGCGAAAGAAGACGATGATGCCACAGCCCGGAAAACTGAAAAGATCTTGGACAGGCATCTACAACAAGTTGAAGATTTGCAAGATAAGATGCAAAGTGAGAGAGAAAACCAGATGAGAATGCTGAAGGAAAAATATGAAGCTAAAAAACTGAAAAGAGAAAGGTAAATTTGGGATCGTTATTATTATTTGTTTGATGTAATGAATCCATGATATGTTTTACATCTTAAAACTTTTGTAAAAAAAATATTTACTAAAATAGGCAGATGTTAATACATCTAATTGATGTCAGCATACCCACAAGAACAAACACTCCAGTCAGATTTGTGTGTAATATTGTCAATTATTAAAATTACGTCAAATGCTTTAAATACAAAGAACACTGTATTCATAAAAATACTGATAACACTTTAAACCAGGAAGTAAATATTGACTTCAGCTAATATTAAAAATCATTACAACACATAAAATCCAGCTAGATATTTACAAGATCTTGATATCGTGAAAAACCAAAGACAAGCGTCTTTGAGTTAAGTCTTACTGCAGTGCTAGCTAAAAATCCTTCAAATGAAGTATTTAAATACTGGAAAGGGGGGGGACACATCGCCCTCCAACATATACCTAACTGGGAGGAGGATCTTGTAAAAAATTGCCCAGGCAGATTTTCACTGCTTCTTGATGAGAAAAACTAGCGAAAATGAGCAGACTAAAAAATCGTGAAATTTTACCGATGAACCAAAGCTTCTGATTGGTTGTTAACTGAAGTGGTAAGACCCTTGTTTTGATTGGTTCATATATTCATAGTCGAAAAGATAAATTACAGACACTGCAAAGTATGGTTTTTGCCTTGTGGGTTCTTCCATAAATCTTCCATAAATTGCTTAAGGGTAGCCGTGTCTCCCTGAAGCCCTATATAATTTGGAATGTTGACAAATGGGGAATTCATGAACTTTATGTGAGCTATACTATATGTAGCATCTAAGCCAATTTATTGTTTATATTGGCAGAGATGTTAAGGATTCGATCGCTGTAGATGTCCAGGCTACTCCAGAACTGAAAAAGAAGAAAGGAGCGTAAGTACCGATTGATCTTTCAGCTCACTCCTCTCTCGCGCCTGGCTGTAACTCGCTCGTTACTATCACCGCACACTGGCTTATTAACAAATATTTACAACTATGTGCAGAGTGTGAAATATTTAGCGTTTATTGTGAAAACCTTGCTGTTGCATTCATGCCTGACTGTAACTCGCTCGTTACTATCATCGCACACTGGCTTATTAACAAATATGACCTTTTTTATTTATTTACCTATGACCTATGTGTAACCTTTGACCTTGTGTTCTCCCTTCTGGTATTCTGTGGTAGAAATCCTTATGAGGGCAAGGCGTTTGCGTAAGTCTGAACCCGAACGAAAGACAAGCTTACTAATTAATAGTTTAAAGTTTTTTTCCCATGATTATAGTATTACCCACAATGCATTTCATACATAACTTCCATTACATGGGTTCTTAAGGAAGATTTGCTTTAGTTAAATGTTACTGTTCTTTGCCCTTTTTTTCTAGCATATTTTCAGTCATGTTAAATTATTCTACTATTAATGTACCATATAATATTATTAAAATATATGAATTCATTATTTACTTAAAAATACATATTACACTCAAGTTTATGTTTTTCTTGTAAAATATTCTTTTATTAAAAGCAGTTTTATTAGTTTCTTTCTTACTTATAAAACAACAACAAATCATACAGTTTGACATGTTACATATGCAATTTTGTATGTTTATTATTGGGTTATACTTTAGTCAGACTCAGCAGCTTAGTGAGCACACAAGTGTGAATTAAATTAGCGTCAGATTTGAACCTACTGTAGTATTCAGATTCATGAGAGAAGTTACAAAATGTACATTTCTTGCTAAAAACAATGGCTGACAATATAGCAATTCTACAGTGTACTTAAAGCTTTATTTAAGTCTTGGGACTATTATGTGACATGCCTGATGGTATGAATATGTACAAATTGCATATTGGTTGTAAATTCTGTGAGACATAGTAATTCGGAACAGAGGTGAATCTTTGTTAATCCATATTCAAAAGCTTTTGGTAGATGAATACAATGGGAAACCAAATAAATCGCCAACATTTAGACATGTAGTAGTTCTTACGATTCACACTACTGTAAACACATTAATTATTTGATAGTTTTTAATTTCACTATTTTTATCGATAAGTAAAATTTGCTGAATTCAATAGAACTCTTTGTTTCTCTGCAAAGTTTGTAAACCCAGTGAAATCGCTCAAATCATGAAAATAAACTGTTTTACCGTAATTCAGGCCATTGGATACTTGACATAGTCATATGATCCCAGTAAAGTTTTATGAATGATCTCGTTGTGATATTTTAAAGGGTAGTAGTCGTCACGCTGTACATGTGCGAAACTTGTGTTGATAAACATTAATTTTCCCACAATCCAGTGCGTTCTTCTAATGGGATTCACGAGTATGAGGTTCAACCTGGGCGCGACTTGCACTAATTACTGCCTGTGACTCCTTCAATACCTTCCAATCAGCTAAAAAAATAATTAAAGCTTGGCAACGTCTCAGTTTGTACTCAAAGTCGCCATCTTTGTTTATATGAGACCCATATATCTCGCTCATGCATGGCTACTGCCCTTTAAAGTGTATATAAATTCAAGTTTTATGCCTCCATAGGTTACAGAAATACTTTGAATAAAATAGCTAAATTAATTAATTAAAGGGAAATAATGTAAATTAATCTTAATTAAACAATGATGTTCATTTCTTGGCTTGCGCATGTACTTACAGATCTGCTGCTGCTGTAATGAACAAGCTACTAATGGAACAACGACACAAACAGGCATTGTCCGAACTTGAGAAAGATCTGAAACTGGAAATGACAAAACAGAAGGAGGAACTAGACATGATTTTAGAGACACAGATGAAGGAAGAGCTTGAGGTAACAACTTACGAATGATCAAAACATTTACAAATTGTTTTTATATTGCAATGTCACATCAACATGTTTTGGGGCCTGGTGAATGTCGGGTCCTAAATCCACAGATCCTGAATTCACAGATCCTAAATCACCAGATCCTAAATCCACAGATCCTAAATTCACAGATCCTAAATCCACAGATCCTAAATCCACAGATCCTAAATCCACAGATCCTACATCCACAGACTCTAAATTCACAGATCCTAAATTCACAGATCCTAAATCCGCAGATCCTAAATCCCCAGATTCTAAATCCCCAGATCCTAAATCCCCAGATCCTAAATCCACAGATCCTAAATCCACAGATTCTAAATCCCCAGATTCTAAATCCCCAGATCCTAAATCCCCAGATCCTAAA